GTTGCCTGCTTAGACTCTTGGCACTCTTAGGTGAGCAGACTTAGTCAGCCTGTGTTGCCCTAACAGGAGCGATGTCTCAAGCTCTAGCTCCCCCTGCATGGCCCACCAGCACCAATTCAGTGCAGACTGCCCAGTCTGGCTCAGCACCACACGTAAATGCAAGTGCAATTGCCAAAGAGCCCTTTCACATCTTCCCCAGATGTGAAGAGGACCAACTCAGGAATCTCCAGCTGATCCAATGTGCCCAGGATAAGCTTGGCCTTCAGCAAATTTGTCCTCAGAATCCCCATCCTGCCCTAATGACCATATTGGCTGCCTGGCACCAAATGGCTCAAGACACCAGGCATTGCTGGTCCCCTGAGTGGGCCTGTCAAATATGTCTGCTGGGAGAGGCATACACTGAGGTGATCACAATTCGCCAGGATGCCATCTCCCAACTCCATGTGAATGATCAAGTGATGATGACCTTCTCAATGCTCACCCAACACCTGGAGCAAGCAGTGAACACATGCTGGGGCAAGCATGCCAAGGCAAACAAAGGCAAGGGGGTGATCTGGAAGTACAAATGGGCTATTGCTCGCCCTTCCTGGGTCTCCTGCAATGCAGCATTCCCTTGTGCAAGTTTCTGGCTCAACAATGAACTTGTTGTCGAGCCAGAGCCAAAGGAATTCAAAAAGGAAGAAGCTATGAGGTGGGGCAAGTCAGTGGCACAGAAGGCATATGAGACAGAGTGGTCAGATTGGGTGACGGAATCCTGGAGGAATGTGAGGGAGGACATGAAGGTAGGGATGCACTTGGCCTACATGTCAGTGCTGCTGTTCAAAGACTCTCCAGAACAGCTGGGATGACCACTGAGATGACCACTGAGGGCATCTTCCCCAGCACTCACTGATGATGGATGGAGGGAGAGGGGAGAATATGGCACCAGGCAGTTCTGGCACAACAGAGTGCTGACCACCATGGATCCCCACCAGTTTAGAAGGCTCAATGAGGATACCTGAAGCCACACGGGCAAGAATATATTGTGTAGCCATCACAGCCATATTGTGGATAGAGCTCTTGTAGGGTAGGCCTAGTATGCTTGCAAATTGAGCACATGTCACTTTCTGCTGGGCCACTGGACTGGGTCCTACAGATGTGTAATTTCAGTGCTATTCCTGGTCCATCTTCATACACACCTACATATGCTACTAGTTGCTGTCTCTGCCATCCCAAAGCATGTTCACTGAGGATGGGAGATGTCCATCTCTGCCATCTGCAGTGAAAGCTCAATCCTGCCATCCCCCTCCTCTCCATCCTGCAATCCCCCTCCTCGCAAGCCAGATTCAGCATGGCCAAATGGTTGTGTCATCACAAAGGATGGCAGATGAGCATTGCTGCCATCCTCAGAGTACTCTCCATCATCACATCCCCCTTCTTGCGACCCAGATTTGGCATCTCCTCTGGCCTTTGCACTGCTCCAACCTGCTCCCACCTTTGCTGCTCCCCAACACAGTTCACCAGCAATCACATTGAGGAACTTGTGTGCCAGCATATCTTCATGCATGGCATTTTGCTGGACCTCCTGGAGGAGAACTTCATTGTCTGTTGCTGCTAATGCTGCCAGCCCTTTGAGCATCATCAAGTAAACTTGCCAGAAGCTATCACAGTGGACTGCCAGCTGTCGAATTGCTGGGCCACACACATCAGCCATCCTCACAATTTAGGGTGCAGAGAACATGACACACCCATATACACTTGTTCTGTGCAATTGGAAAACTCCTGGGGAACCAGCTGGAACACCTCATGCTCTGTTGGAGCATACAGCTCACAAGTGACCTGGAGATGCTTGGGTGAGATACCAATCTGCACAAGAGCAGTGAGGCATGGTCTCATTGAAGAGGCAGTGCTGGCTGCTTGCCTTGTAATCGAGATATGGCCCATATCTCAATGGGTGTTCCAACAACAAGACTGGAACCTCTGCAGGCATGGCCTTCTTGTTATCCCACCATGGTTTGCTGGTGTTGTGAACCCTCATGAACCGGTCAAGGTCTGCTTGGATCATGAGGACAGTGAGCCACCAGAACACCAGGCTGTGAGACAGTCAACATCAGGGCCCAGATCATGGAATGGATCAACACACAGTTCCAGGACCTGATCTGGATGGTACCAGTATTCATCCAACCCCTCCTGGAACAACTTCTCCCAACCTTCTGACCACTGGCAATGCAACTTCAACCAGAAAATCTCCAGCTTGATGTTTGAATGGCCCTGCATCCATTGATGCTGGAGCATTCCAGCTAGCTCTGGATCTAGCATCTGGCACAGCATTGTCTGGGCATTTGCAATGCCATGATTCTCCATGCCAGGATCACTCTGGGTGAGCAGTGGGATGCCTGATAGAAGTCACTAAATGAGCTAGGATCTTGGTTCAAGGCTCACCCTGCATTTCAGATGCAGCCTCCAAATAATAGCTAGCAATGAGGCATGGGTTGGAATTGGTCCACCAGACCTTGAGCCAGAGGACCACATTTGAAAAGTTGTCCAGCCCCATATGCAAGAACAGCCCAAAGCATCGCCACTTGTCATGCTGGTCAAAACTCCATCATTTGTGCAGCCCAGCACTCCAGCACACTGCTTGTCTCAGCCGCCTCACCCATCAAACCTTGTTGCCAGCAGGATTGGCTATCAGCTGGTACTCTTGTACTAGCTGGCTACTAGAGAATGAGTAGCTGCTGACCAGCTTCAGCTTCTTGGCTTACCAAGATACCAGTATGTGCTGCTCTCAGAGATGGTCATGGATGGACATGGAACCCAGTTGATTTGCTGTATGCTCTCGGATCATCTTGACAAATGGGCCAATGAATGCCACAGTGTGGGCTTGCTGCTTGACAGAGAGCAGACCCCACTTCTTGTGGCGTCACTGGAGCATCTTGGTTCTGGGAAGACTAAGACATTAGATGGGTGCTGTACACTGGAACTGGTATGCTCACGACAGCATCCAATCATTGGCCTGCACATCCAGCACCCCCTCTATGGCATCCAGCATCTTCCTATTGCCATATCCCAACAGATGGTACTTCTCCACTAGGGGACGCAAGATGCTGTTGGGCACTGGTGGAGTGGAACAGTCACTGGACCACCAATGAGTCTTGAGTGTGATTTGCACTCACCAGCCGGACTGTGCTGATTGCAATGCCAGCCCAGACTGAGAATTTTGTCGCCCAAAGCATCAAGATCCATCAGCGAAGTTTGGGATAATGGGAGGATGTTGATGTCAACAATGAAGTGCTGTTCAAGCAAAGGAATTGGTGTGGCAGACGGGGCCTGACAGCTTGGGTGATACCAATTTACTGGGTGCTCCAAACAGGGCCCTGAATCTGGGAACATTGTTGAAAGAGGAACTGGACTTACCAAACTTGTTCACAGCTTCCCGAAATGGTTTGGTCACTACCGCAATCCTGTTATGGAAGTAAAATTCTCAACCTGTCCATTCCAAGCCAATGCTGGTAGTCATTCTTGGACACCAGGCACTCCAGCAGTCCATACTCACAAGACAACTAACCTGTTCACCACTTCCTGAAATGGTTTGGCCACTACTGCAATCCCATTATGGAAGTGAAATTCTCAACCTGTCCATTCCAAGCCAATGCTGGTAGTTGTTCTTGGACACCAGGCACTCCAGCAGTCCATACTCAGGAGATGACATCCTGAGCGAGGTTTTTTTTCCTGGAGGGGCTGTCTGGCAAGCATGCATAGTATATAGAAAGGCATTTTGTCACCCTCCCCCTCATCTCTGCCCCTCCTCCTGCTCATCCTGTTCTTGTTGCTGGAAAATGGCTCACATTTCCCCCTTGATCACCAAATGGGAAGGTCAGCATTGCAGCCATGCCAGCTGCAACATTCATATCAGGCCCAGTGACCCCTGGCAAGCGATCAGGCTGCGGGATGCTCATGGGAATGAGCTCCCAGTGCAGATTGTGTGCCCCAGCTGCTTTATGTACTATGAATCAAAAGCTGGCACACTCTGCCATCCTGCTCCTGGTGCACAGGGTCAGCCAGCTGGCCCAGCGCCTGGGACAATCCTGCCTGAGAGGGTCCAAGAAATACACAGGCAGACTGCTGGTGCCCAGTGTGCAATCTATGAAGGTATGCCTTGAAGTGAACTGCATGTGCAAGCAAGAAGCTGACTTCCCGTAGGAGGGAAATTGCCAGTGCAGGCTGTCAGTCTCCAGTTCAATGCCCCCCCTATGACCAGTGTCTTCCATGTGCCTGTGCAGTTCTCAAACATCCCTGGCATGCCAGCATATGGTGCAAACACCAGGCCTACCCTGTTGGGTTACAATAGCAACCATGGTATGTACCCCCAGCAACATCAGCTGGTGAAGATGGCTGTCTCTGCCCCCTGGGCTGAGGTGATGAGGGTGGATACATCCATGCAGCATTTGGTGGAAGGAAAGAACAGGGCAAAGCAACTGGGGGTAAGTGCCTTTTAAGCTTGTTCAAGCTATGCAGACTACTAATGGTTAGAGTAGAACACCTCCAAGTGGTTGACAAATGTCCCTGCGACACTGGTGCCCACTGAGCTGAAGCAGTACATCTTCACGCAGCTGCATTGCAAGATCCAGCAGGACATGTACCACTTTCTGTTCCAACTTGACTATTTTGAACTGTGCGGGCTGGGTCTAGCAGACCTGGAGAAGGACCCAACATGCTCAGCCCTGTACCAGCAGTGTGTCAAGACTCATGTGAAGAACAGCATCTCGATGCAAGTCTTCATGCCAAACCATCTAGTTGAAGCCTTCTTGGTCATTGAGAAGGAGGTCTGGCCAGCCGTGAGCCTTTGGATTGAGGGATCAGTGAGTGTTATACTGATCTGATTGCTCTTGTATGTACTAGATCTAATCAGATTCCTACTTAGACTGAGGGGCTCAGTCATTCCAATGTCATCATTTTGGGCTTCCCTTCTGTCTCTGGGCCTGATGTCAGTACCAAAGTCGCTGGTCATACTGGAGTCATGGGTGCTGTGACTGCGGGTCTTGGAGGAGGATCTAGTGCTATCAAGGTATGGGAGATCAGGGTTAGGGGGTTGACATTATCATTCACACTTTCCATAGCAGCCCCTCATTAGTCAAATGCCCCCCTGTCCCACCAAGCATATGGTGTGGGAGCTGGGTCGAAGCCCAGACAATGCTGCAGTAGACCATGCATTGAGGGCATCAGACTATAGCAAGGTTACAAAAGCCAATGGTGCATCTACTTATGTTATCCATTATTCTACATTTACTAATGGTGACTCAGTAAAATCCATCATGGCCCATGGATTGTTTTTGCCCATGCCCATGATCAGCTGGAATGAGTTGATCTCTGGCAGTGTGAAGCTGGTGATCAACTACAAGGGAGACAGGTGTCACTCAGTCTTGCAAGTGAACAAAGATCTGAAGAAGATGCTGGGCCCACCCAGGATGTTCAAAATGGCACATTCCGCACTGCTCACTCTCAATGAGTTCTCGGTGAAGTGGGAAGAGAAGCAGCCCTTTGCGTTAGGACATCCAACCAAAGTGGCTGCCAAGCACTACTATGTGTGCAGCAAGCCCAGAGGCTCCTGTCATCAAGTCAAGATGTCTGTGGAATTGATGTTTCTGCAAGACAAAGTGAACCTTCTCTACTGGGTGACTGCCCTGCATGGGCTGGTGAAGTATTTTGTTGAGGACTACATAACCTTGAATCCAAACTCACGTGCCTGCACCCTGGAACTGCCGGACACCTGTATGGTACTGGGGGGTCTCTTCCAGTATGGGCAAGATAGCCCTCAGGAATGTGCAGGGCTCGTCACCCTGATTGAGGAGAAGGTTGTCAGACCCCTGATCTGAGAGGGGAAGACCAAGAAGACCTTCATCAAGTTCATCAACAATTTGTCACCAAAGCCAAGGTTCTTGGAAAGGCCAACTGAGGTGGTGGCATGCTACTTGTGTTTTTTCCAACATGTGCAGTACCAGAAGATGTTCAAGAAGGCATTTGTGTTGGACTATCAAGGTATGTCTAATGTCAATCCCTACATCCTGGTCAATGCTGATCAGCATTGAGGGTCGCTGACAATGCTGAGTGATCCTCAGATCATTAGCAACCTGTGAGTACTTCTACTCTACTGGTCCATTCTATTCGAGCTGATGCAGGTGCCCAGTCTGCTCAGTGACATATTTGGCCAGGGGAACATAGACAGCTTGTGAGCCAATTTCCCAATGCAGCACAAATGCAATGAGTACTGTGTTGCATTCAAACTGGAGCCCCTCCATGATCCCAATGTGTGCCCTGAACCAGGAGGAGTACCTGCCAAGTCATTGAACCTGCCAGATGTGGAGGACATCATCAAAGACACCCTTGCACCTTCTCCAGTTGAAGGAGGGGGAGTGGCAGGTAAGGATGGGGAGCATACTGGAGATGAGCCAGGAATGCAGTCATTGGGTGGACCTCATGCAACTGGCACTCGAGGTCTGGGATGACAAAGTGCATGGTTAGAAAGAAAGTGAGCCAGCAAAGCAGCTCTACTTGCTATAGCTGAGTAACTCAGTCAATTACTAGCTATATATTGTCCCTGTAGCCCAACTCTTGTCACTCATTATGACTGCATAATTTTGAATTTCTTTTCAGCACTTGATGAATCCCAAAAAGGCATTCCAAACTGGCCCAGGTGATGTGGGCCCAAGGATGTCCACAGAGTCCATCTGATAGGTGCAGGCCAGCATGGTAAGAGACATGTGACCGCTTTGTTTCCGTTACACAGCCACTCTGCCTGCGCCTTTGCCATGCATGATGGCCTTGTCCTCCTTGATGACCTCCTCACTCCTCCTGCTCTCACCATCGCCACGACCATGATGACAATGACGACCACTCCCCTCCCCCCATCCTTCTCCCCCACTGCAGTCCTCAGAGGTTACTGCTTTGGGTAGCATCACAGAGGCCATCATTGGTGCTGTTGTGCAAGGGACTTTGGCCATGGGCCTGTGCATTCTTCAGTCATGCACAGAAGGCAAGCTCCACATCTCTGATATCAGCACACTGAGCAAGCCATCCCCCCCCCACATCTCAGTCTTCCCTTCACCCTCTTGAGCTCTGTGGCTCCCCTCTCTGACCCTGCAACTACCTCACCACTTGCCTCTCCCCCAATTGTTCTAGGTTGCACAACAGAGGCCGTAATTGGTGCTGTTGTGCAGTAGCCTCAAGCAATAGGGCACCTAGTGCTCAGAGAGTAGTCTCTGAAGAAATTTGAACTTCCTGCGGCCATCCAGATGAGATCCAAGCCCTGGGAGAGTGTGGCCCCTGTCCCTCTGCCTCTCTGTCACCCTTGTATCCAAATTGACGGCTGTAACTGGTGTCAGGAATGCCATTTGCTACAGCTCAAACAGTGTTTTGATACGGCCCTGTAGGTGAGAGTGTGCTGTCAGCAGCAACCACACTCAAATCAGGAAGGGAAGATGGGGGACTTACATCCAAGAAGACAATTGAGGAGCTTCTTGCAGCCCTGCCTAGGCATATTGACTTTGCTCCCATGCTCAACAGTATTTGCAAGGATGGATACAAAGCAGCAATCCTATCCATGGAGATGATCTTGCTTGCCAAGTTCATCATGCCTACTCGAACGGCTGATGAGCAACTTGAAGACCTTTGTTATTGTACTCTCCTCAAATGATTCATTCAAGGTCAAGGATCACCCAAGCATGACATTGTCTGGGTCAAAGAAGAGCATGCCCACTGCCTCTGGGCTTGTTCTAACCAGAATTGGACTGTTTGGGTGCAAGACTATGATTCATCCCTCCCCCATCAACCTTACTGTGAGAGACCTCCAGCTCATGGTCTCAACGTGAAGGTCTGGTGGGTCATGCTCTTCCGAGATGCATTCTCTGCATCTGTTAGGGCAACACAGGCTGACTAAGTCTGCTCACCTAAGAGTGCCAAGAGTCTA